CACAGCTACCCTCCTGGACGTTTCCTTTCTGTCGGCCTGCCCCAACAAAGGTGCTCAGTCATGTGAAACCTAATCTCCAGCCCCCCAAAACCTGACCCTTGACCCCTTCAGTCTTCACACAGCCAGAGGGGGAGGGGACCCGGGGCAGGAAAGGGAGGCTTTTGGGAAAAGGTCACATTCCCAAAGACACTTTTGTATATGCAAGTGTGTGTGTGTGGTGTGTAGTGTGTGTGTGTATGTGAGCGTGCATGAACCCAGTCCATTATGTGGTTTGTGTTCCAGCATCAGCATGTGTGTTTGATTCCATGTCTGCGTACAAATGTGCATGTATACTCCTGTGAGCTTAAGGGCCTTTTAAGTTTTCATGTGCATGCATGCATGTGTGTCTGTTGTACAGTGGGTGTGGGTGTGTGTGCTTGCATAGGAACACTGTATGTGCGTATGTGCATGTTTGTGAGAAAGCACTTTCAGCCCCGGAGCGTCGCTGCCCATAGACAAAACACAGACTGTTTTCTAGCTCGGCCAGACCTGTAAGTCTTGTCTGGGCAGAGCTCCTCTGCTTCCACCCTATACTGGCAATCCTCAGATCTTTGAGTGTGTGTGTGTGTGTGTGTGTGTGTGTGTGTGTGTGTGTGTGTGTGTGTGTGTGTGTGTGTGTGAGGCACTGGGTGTCAGCTGTCCTGGGTGATTAGTGCTTTTATATTGTTCCAAGGAGCCCGGACGAGGCCCCCTCTTCACTGCACCACAGCACAGCTGCAGTCTGCCTCTCCATCTCTGCTCTTCAGCCTTCCCCTACTTACTGACACTCGTGAGACAGACGCAGACCCAAGAAAAAGTGAGCTCAGAAACAGAGACGAGAGCTGAAGAATGGACAAAGAGAGGGAACAGGACAGAATGTGTATAATAGCAGACGAAAAAAAAAAGGAGGAAGAGGATATGGAAGGATAAAGAGAGATGATCCACTGACAGTTGACGCAAGGAGGAGACAGTAGCGACATAGAGGAGGAAGGCAGTGGAACAGAGGGAGAGCAGCGGACAGGGAGAAGTGGCATATTAGGCGGATTAGAGAGTCAATTCAACGAGCCGACTCTCTCCTGGACAGGATTTCCCCAGCTATGCCTGGGAGGCCTCTCTTGCTTTAAACGCACAGGCAAGTCAGGACAGAGAGGAAGGTGAAGTATAGGGGAGGAACGGAAAAGAGAAAGAGAGAGAAAGAGAGGTGCTGGGAGGGGTGGCTGGGGGGGGGGGGGTTTTTTATCTCTTCATGAGTATTTGTGAACTCGTTTTCGATTTGCATAATGAACTAATAAATCCTCGCCCTTCAACTGAGAATTGGTCTATCCCCTGA